TCAAATTGTATTAATATGTAAAGACCAAGTGTAACATATATCATCGTTAAATCTTATCTTATAAAATCGGTGGAACTTCAAAATCGTTAAAATTCATGGCTCCCGCCGCATTGCGCGGGTACACAACTAATATATATATATATAAAAGGGTGTCCGTGTCATCTTTTGTGTTAACTATACAAACTAAAATGGTCCAATAGGAATCCGTATTGGTTTATGGTTGATAGCTTATTAAATATTTAGCAAGTGAGGGTAAAATAATAAGAATACGTTTACAAAATATGGGAGTTACATTGTTCTTAAGATTTGGGTCTTTTCAAATTTATGGGTGTGTTTAACATACCATGATTGATGTCTTTCCCAAATGAAATTTGTATGTGTGTTTAACATATTATGATGGACTTATATTGTTCCTTGTTCATAGGTGAACATTGTTCACCAGTCATATATACGTACACATTCAGGTATGTGTTCAGTAATGAACATTTTCATATATGTTATATTTTTATTGGTAAACAATGTTCATAAGCTACTCATATATAACAATTATACATTAATTCATACTATTCATAAGTTACACATTACATATTAATAAATGAAATTAAAGCTTGATGTCGGTTTCAAAATGATGGAGTAATTATTGGAAAAGTAATTAATGCTAAAAGAAACCTCCCTACTTTTTTTTTTTCAAGATTACCATTTGTCTTTCAAGAATTCGCTATAATAGTGTCCTTGAAGGCCTAATAGGTTTGGAAATTAGTGAAGAGGCTATTGAAATCATAACACTTTTGTAATGACAATTTTTGAGTAATCAAGTATAAGAAGATTTAAAGAATTCGGTAGGATGAAAATAGTAACATATTAATATGTATGACTCTCGTATTAGGATAGTTATATAATGATATTTTGTTAATTGTTTCCCTAATTTCGTATAGGGATCACATGCTTGTCGTACTGACTAATGACAAAACTGGAAGCTTAATGAAATACGATCTTGAAAGCAAAGAGGTTGTCGTTTTACTTCACAACCTCACCTTCCCAAATGGAGTAGCATTAAGTCAAGATGGTAATTTTCTTCTTGTGGCCGAGACAACCAATTGTAGAATCTTGAGGTATTGGCTTAAAACAGCAAAAGCCGGAACTCTTGAAGTGTTTGCTGATCTTCCTGGATTTCCGGACAACATCAAGAGGAACCAGAATGGAGAATTTTGGGTGGCAATGTATTCAAGAAGACTCAAGATTTTGAGATGGATTCACTCACTTCCTTGGATTGTAAATGCTTTGATGAAACTTCCCATTGACCCTGTTAAATTGAGCTCATATATTGCTAAAGCAGGAGGTGAAGGTTTGGCAGCAAAGTTAGGGGTAGATGGTGAAATATTGGAAATCTTAGAGGATGTAAATGGTAAAATTTGGAAGTATGCTAGTGAAGTGATGGAGAGAGATGGGTCTTTGTGGATAGGATCAGTTGAAAACCCTTTTGCAGTCAAACTAAAAGTACAAGATTAAAGGGGTAAAAAGAGAAATTTGCATACAAGAAATAGAATAAAGTGGATGTTTGAATTACATAACACTTCAAATCATAGTTTTTATAGTTATTATAGTTGTAGTTTTGTTGTAAATCATTATTTCACTTGTTAAATGCAAAAGGATATTGAATTATATCATAACGGATGTATCTAATGATTAAATTGCAGCACCGTTGCAAAAACAACTGTTGATGTATAGTAACTAATTATACTTGATTGTATCGTCTTTAAGACAAATCTTCCATTTGTGTTTGTGTAGGATTGATGAAATTCTTTTCAAACTCAAAGAGTTTTCAAGTATCTTAGAGCGGAACCTATCAAAAAGCATTCATTGACCTACTTTTTAATTGCTAGTTCTTTCGTATTTATTCAATATATGGATAACTGGTTACATTTCTATGATATCTCACAAGATTTAAAGAAAATTTTCTATACAAACCCTAAATTTATAAATTAGCAGAAACTTTAGAACTTTCCAAATCCTTTTAGTTAAAAAAAACTTTGATGACTTCTTTACAAAAGAAGGAAGACAAGGTATGTATCATAATTCTAAACTGGACTATCTAATTCTCAAACAGAATTAGAACAAGTTAGATGTTACTAAAACAATCAAGGCTGCTATTTTCAAAATCTGGATGACGCATCTATACTTCTCCTAAGGGAACTTCTACAAAGCCCAGAAAATGAAGAATGATGAACATGTGCTGGAGAAAGATGTATAAGTCGTCATGTTCATCGTCTTCATTTTCTGGGCTACGTGCACATGTGCATAAAACCCATAAAGACAGATTTAATAATCGATCTTAACCCTAAGAACACACTTTGTAAACACAAAGTGACAAAATATTGAATTATTTTTTCCACAACTTATACTAAAAAACTAACCTTTCTAGTCTCTTCTTCAAGAAGTTCGAATATTGAAAACTCGATACGCTTATCCGCCATTGAAACATAAGGATGTTTGAATCATGATGTTTGCTTCAAATCAATTTTTGGAGAGGGCGATTGTTTACTGTGTGTATGTGTGTGTGAGAGAGATAGGATTTTTGGAACTACAAGAGATATGGGTTTAAAACCCATTGATTGAGGTTGGCAATAACATAAACTCAACCTATACTTAGACTTAAATCTACTTATAGGTTCAATGTGGTAAAAACAAGTTATTGATCACCAACTTAGACATTAGTTTACTAAACTAATGAGTAATTTTTTGAGGGTGAGTTTTATACTCTTAATGAAGTAATATTTTGATAATAAAAGGGGATTCACCTATATAGACACAAGGAATGGTGCCGCTCCAGTATAAAGCAAATGTTTTGCTTTTGTGGGTGTCTATGAAACTCGGATGAGCACATGACCATAATAGTGCTCCCTTATTCATGATCATAAAAAGACTTGTCATGTGTGTTATCTCTCCGAGTCTTAACTTATGTAATCATGGCTCAAATGCTTTAAGTCGCCTTAGATTCTGTTGGACTACTTGAGAGGTATACACTATGTTAAGGTTCAAAGTAAAAGCTTCCTTGATTTAAGCATGAAAGTCGAATGCTTGTGATAAATCTTAAGTGGGGGATTGTTGGAACATGGTAGTATTTATCACTATCACTTGTTTGGCTTTGTCCCAATAGGAGGAGTGAAAAAAGTATTTTTATTATATTAAATAAAATGCATTTGATTTATTTGGTCTCCTAAGACTTAACGACAGTTAACCTTTTCGTTAACTTCCAGTTAACATTTTTCGGTTATCTTTTGAGGGAAACCGAATTGGGTATATGAACCATTGCACCTTTTCATGAACGGTTGCACCTTTTCATGAAAGGTTGCACCTTTTGGGACCTTATAAATATTGGTATTTGTCTTTCTTAATTTAGGACAATAATATTTTTTTCCATCTTCTTCACTAAATCACTCTATACCATGATCATGAGAAGGACTTGTAGGATCGTTGCTTACGGTTCTTAGATTCGAGGAGGTCCTGGGGGAGGGAGTTATCCTAAATCCATCAACGACTTGGTGGGGGCTAATAATCCTTAAGGATAGTGATATAATCACATCCTCGTTTTTCTGTTTATATACTACTACTTTTCAACATTATTCAAAGCTCTCTTATAATAGTTCTCTCAAGCAATACAAGTTTCATTTATATTCCAATAGTCTCTTGCGATCTCTTTATTTGCCTTAATCGTTTGTTTCAGGTGTGTGGCTCACTTAGTTCGAGAACTAAGGCCGCATGCGATCTTGTAGAGACACATTCATGACATTATGTAGTCATAAGGGATACAAGTTATGGTGTCTAGAGACTCAGAAAATGGAAGTTACATTTAATGAACAATCCATGTTTGAAAACTCTGTGATCCTGATTTTATTGATGATATTATTTCTGAAGCTAACAAAAGAATTCTAAGGTGCAGGTGGAGCTTCTTGTTTCCATTGGTGATTCTTCTAAAGCAACTGCTCAACATCTACATCATCTTCATCTACCTCAAACGATCTTCATGATGTTTCTTAATTTAACATCTTTGGTAATATTTGAACCCTTGACGTCCTAGGAGATCAAAGACCCACATACCGCTAGGCCAAAGTCTTGTTTCTTCTTAATTTAACATCCTCAACCCTATACTACAATGGATAAACCTAGAAGATATGGTGTACCTCTTAGTCGGGCTTTGGCCCAGACACCCTTACAAAAAAAAAGATATGGTGTACCTCTTAGAAGGCATTCAAAGGATAATTTAGTCACTTATGCCCTAAATGTCATTGAAGAAATTGAAAAGGGCTTGTGAAAGTGTTTGTGAATCCTTGAAAAGGGTTGTATTGCCTTCCTTCAGCATATAAACTTGTACAAGAAAACTGTATCCTATTGATAATTAAGGAAAGATTATATACAAAGATCTTATATATATATATATACAAACTAGCAAACGAATCAAATCATTTACAAAATTATATTTACTATCAGATACATTTTAGGAACCAACAACCAAGAATTTAGTTGATCTTTTGTTGTTTCAGTATCATTTTTCAGCAAGAGATAATATATATAGATTTCTAGAGATTATAGACTCTTTGGTGAAAGTGGTGAGTGCTAATCAAGAAATCGTGGTCACCTTCATTCTCCTTCTATTTTGGATGCACGGTTGAATGTTGTGTACCTGCAAGTGTCTTAACTCCTAGTGTGTGATTAATCCTTGGAAGTCTAATAAGGCTTGGATGGCAAGATGTTGAAGTTACATGAAGCCTTCATTGGCATATCTACAGGCATATGAATATCACCGTATCAGCCTTTGACAGAGTGGTTATTCTTTTAAAAACTCTTCCCTAAAACTTGACATTGAGAAATTAAAATGTAACCATTTACATCACCAGGATGGTCTCTCCTTTTTGTAAAGAATAAGTGATCCGTTGCCCATATCCCCATCTCAAGTAAAAATGACATTGGAATAAAACGAATATCATTTTCTGCCATCCTTGGTGCACTCTTTGTAACAAGGAATTATGGAAGATCCCACAACCATATCAATTTAATTCCTTTAGAATGAATCCCAAAAATAGTCACTAGAGAATTAGTTTTCTACAGATAAAAAAATCCTCTAAACTTTTTCTTTTGAAGGTGAGAGGGGAGTTTTGGATGAGAGGAAATCACTGGAACAGTATTCTTTTGCAACCAAATGATTTCCATTGATTACAAAAAAGAGTTTATGCTGGAGAAATCCGTGTTTCTTTGCTCCACAACTTAAAATGGGTTGCATGACAAGCGACACAGATCTTCCTCGAGTGCAGCTCTCTTTGCTCTTGGAGGGTCCAGAATGGACCGCCAGGAGGGATGAGAAGATGGTGGGAAAAGTTCGCAGATTGGTGATTAGGGGGTGGAAGAGGGAGCAGACTTTAATAAATGGTAGTTGTAGAGCAACGTTAATTTGACAAGTTCCAAGTATGCATCAGATATTCCCATTGTATAAGGCTAACAATTTATTATGCGAAGAAAATTCACATGAAACAAAATGAGCTTCAACCATTAGAACTCAATCAACTTTCAATTGCACTTATCTCTAATTCAATCAACCACGGATCTGAAATACTAAATACAGATATGGTGTTTACATAACAATGCAAAGGACAAAGAGAATGATAGGGAATTTCCTGCTATCGTTACCCATTGCATACTGGTGTCTACAGATGGACATATGTTACACTCATGGAGATGTATATATAGACTGCTAAGTACGTTAGAGACTGTAGTCCGCCAATTGGTAGACATTATCTCTATAGCCAATGACAGTTGGGTAAAAGTTCGTCTGATCATTGGTGGAAAACACACAGCTTCTCCTTCAACTTTTCAGCCTCTATTCTGTAATCCCCTTGAACCTGTTCAACACAATGATATATTATAAAAATTTCCACAAAATATTTAATACAATGTGTTATTGTAAAATGAAACTAAAATTGTTCATTGGCACCCAACAGTGGATATATATATATATATATATATGTATATATGTTTGATTGTATTCACATAGAAACAAGTATATCTGTACCTGAACATGCAGAGTGTTTAATAACATTCCTTCTCCCGAACATTTGAAGGTCGTTGCATTTAGCAAAACGATCCCATCTTCTTCCTGCTCTAAGTACTCCAAAACCTTAGACAAGAAGCCAATCTCCTTGTTCTTGCTCATGTGATCAGCTGAGGAAATCAGCTGGATGACAGCTTCTTTGTCACTTAAAGCGTTCACAGAAGAAACTACCATAGCATCTTTAGAACTTTTGATGACATGATAATCTTTGCTTGTCTTATCAGTTGATGATGAAGACGACAATCTTTTCTTCTTGCTTTTTAATGTCTCCACCTCCTTTTGTAGTTCGGGTATGTATTTCAGTGCTCGCGATACTGTCCCCGGAATACTTACTTTTTTCTGTCGAAAAGGGATTTACATATAAATACATACCCAAATCTAATTCTACAATACACAGACTACTTACAAGAATTGGGAAAAACATTATATGCTAGGATTTGATAAGTAAATCTAATGAAGATGTTGATCAAGTACCTTGTGATCACTTGACACGGGTAGCAGTGAACGAAGAAATGCATACAAGTCGTTAACCTTCTTACGACGATCTCTTTCACTTGCATTATGATCGAGCTTTTTTACAACCATCATAGCATGATCTCCGGCGCCACCGTTATTTAACGAAACGGATTCTGGTGGAAAATCATTCTTCATTTGGTCATATGTAGGAAAATGAGTAAGGGAATTATAATATGAATTTGCTTCATTGCAATCCTGTTGATGAAGATTTGGGGTGATGAGATCCTCCAAGGGCCATCCATAGGTTGTTGAAAACACAGGAGGGCTTAATGCCAACATCTTTTCTTTCTTTCTGCTTGTAGGGAAGATTCTTGTTGCAGGATCAGGTGTGGTGTGGTGTGATAAGAAAGTGAGAATGATAAGCTGCTGTATTTATTAATGGTATAGCTGTATACCCTCTTGCATTATTAAAATATGTTGATATGTGCCCTCAACTTTAAAATTGAAACATACACCTCAAGAAAATAGGGCTGAATTTATTTTTTTATATCAGAAGGGTACTTGTACAATGTATCGAGACATATTTCAATTTTAATATTTCGTTTTGTTCTTTTTTATGTTGATATAATATGATTTTATATGGTTTTGCGAAAACGATAATGTTTTTATTTTTTAAAATATAAATTTGAAAATATCATAAAATTTTGAAGAAAAAAATATATATCGATATTAATATCAAATTAACTATTTAAAAGTTCTTGTTTTTTGTGTAATTCCTTTAATTCAATTTTTTTTTATTATAATTTAATTTAGGTTTAGTAACGAAGTAATTTAATTTAGATTTAATAATATAATTTTTTATAAATATAATAATCAAGTATTCTGTTAGAATTTAATGATTATCCTGATTATATTTTAATTTTTTTATATTTAAAATGAGATGTTTATCTACAGTTATTTACACAAATTCAAATACGGAGCTTTAATAAGTTGTACTTACGCACGATTTACTTGTAATCTTGAATTTTAAGTAATATATGCATAAATAAACAGTACTTTGTGCATAAAACATTGTTTTTAAAAGTTTTTATCAAATGCTTTATAATATAGTATAGAAGTAGTAATAAAAAAGAGTAGAAAAAGAGATCCAATTTTTTAATACATATATAATAGAACCCAAAATAATTTAGTGGATAATAATGACTAAAATTTGTATTAATTAATTATATAAAAAAATATAAATAGTTAAATGATTATTCATTTTATATTATCGTTTAATTGTATCTTTATGTTAATTATTTAGTACCAAAGTCCAAAACTATTAACTATATTTACCTCTATTTGCCAGACTATTTTTGTGATTCGATTCATTAATTACAATTCAAGTAACGACGAATTTAACCAAAACACTTTAGGCATAAAAATAATCAACTATCGATTAACGTATTATCAATAATTCAATAGAGTGGCGTATTCGTTATTGTTACAAAAACATGAATTAATAAATAATATTTAAAAACATTAAGCAATATTCTTTTAGAAAAAGCTAGGAAAGATTTCATCTTATCACCAGCTTATAAATACTATAATCCAAGAAGTAGATACAAATACAATGCTTTTGGCAATTTCAAATAAGTTATTAACATATCATTAATCAAACACAATGGGAATTTTATTATTATAATATTATACAATTTTTTATTTTATGTTACATGTGTGGATGAAACCATCTATAAACTTCATGTTTACTTTAATCTATATTCTTTAAATATTAATGTTTTTGTCTATAAAAATTATAATTTATATTCTTTAAATATTAATGTTTTTTTGTAGTTAAAAGTTGTAATATTAAGTATACATATATTTCTAGCATATGTATTATATGTTCGACTATCATTCAATACCAAAATTCTTGTCATTTACATGTAACTAAAATGCCGTCAAATACTAATCAAAATTCTTGTTAGAAGTGAAATTAGTGATAGTGTTATATTTAAATCTTAATGAGTATAATAAGCACAGAACATAAATTTTTCATTTGAAATATTAGAATTTTGAATAACTATACGGCATTATATTGAGAAATAGTGTAATTGCATTGAATAAAAAAAGACAACCATAAAGAAACATGAAAAATACACACATATATGCTCATGTCAACCGTGTTTGGACTCGCATAGTTCACAATTAAAGACACTGTGTCTCAAATATTAATATTGATATTGTCAAATGAGATGTTTAAATAAGAAAATTAAATCTTGTGATCAAGAGAGGTCGTCCATTTGAAGATACATGTATCAACTCATATGAATAATTTGTGTATTTGATTCACTTCAATATATTCACTTATAAAACCCTTCCCTTCTTACTTGTTACGATATTTAGTTTTTTTTTTTTATTTGACCCGTCTCTTATGTATATGTATGTGTAAGTGTGTGTGTGTATATATATATATATAGAGAGAGAGAGAGAGAGAGAGAGAGAGGAGAGGGAGAGGGGAGACAGAGTGATTAATTTACATAGAGATCCACTAGTGGTAAACAACAAATAACGGGGAGACATAGAGATTTACGTTGAGATTCACAAGTGGTCCACGAAATAAATGGTACCTGCTATAAGTTTGTCATTCAAATAATAACATTGGGTTTGAGTCCAAACTTTGACATGGATATGTTACTGATCTATGCTTATTTGCGGTTGTGTTTCTATTTGATATAATTTCTCAATTTTTAATGCCAATTCAAAATTCCAATATATAATGAATACTTATTATGTTGAAAAAGATTCTTACATAGTTTATTTCCATACCCACCTCCTCTTTCTCCCCCTCTCTCTCTATATACAATATATATATATATATATATATACACACGTTACTTTTATAAACCGTGCAAACCTCATTTAACTATTAATAATTTTTTTTTGTAATTATAAGAGGTTGATTACTCATTTTTATTGTGAAAGACGTTAATTATAGATATTATCATCGTCATATCGAGTTTAAAGAAATACATGAAACAATTTCATTAAAACATATAAACAACTATATATGAAACAACTTGATCAAGAAAATAATTATATAAAACAATCTCATTAAATTAAACAATGAAATCGATAAATGAAAATAGTTTATATGATTTGTACAAATATAGTTTTGCATTTTATCGTTTGTCCAATGTTTATTAATGTATGTATGTGTGTTTGTTTTGGGGGAGGTTGTATGTGTATATTTATAAGTATAAATTAATAGCATACTCTTGGAGGATGTATTCGTGTGGAGCGTGTGCTATGCACAAGCTTTTGGTTTATGCGTCTATTGGAAGCGTAACATGGCATGTGGTGTACACACTCCTTTTTATATATATATTTTTAATTATAATCGATTTATGGCTTCATTTTTTAATCAAGTCTTATTAGAATTTATGTCAAATGTTCCTTTCATGAAACATTAAGGGCATATGCATAGTGATGGAGTTTATGAAACAGGATACCTTATCCTCATATGTGGATCTACGAAACCCTTTAAATGATGGTGAAACAGGATATTTTATCCTCCCTCATGTGTGGATCTACGAAACCCTAAAAATGATGGGATCATATATAGAGAACAATAAAACTAAGGGGTTGTTCGGTTCGTTTTTAGTTAAGACATGTATTGATATAGTTGTCTGTACATTAACAGATAAGTTGTTGTTCGGTTGTTGTGCTAAATAAACAGTCTGAATGTCAGAAATGACTATTTTACCACCAGTCTTTATTTTTGTTTAAATATTTTGCACTTTACATGACCCAACCAAAAGGAATGAACAGGTTCCCTGCTCTTCCCTGCTCCAATTGAAAACCCCCAACAACACCCTCCTCTTTCTTTCTTATCCCTCCCTTCACCATCGTCCCTAACACCATGCTACCTAACCATCTAAAATCTCCGCCGACAACAAACACTGGAATGGGGGGCTCACTCTTCCAGCCTTCACCAACACAGAACACACATCCGCGCACACCTATACAAAGCACACACACAGACCCACACCCACACCCTTCATCTGACGGTTTCTTAAAAAACCCACAATACACACACATATATGCACACTTGACATAAATACACGGACACACATATAAACACACATCGAAGTAATGGTAAGGCAAAGCACGATGAAGAACAATCGAACAGGTACCTATGTGAGAAGAACGGCATACCTGTGTGAGCGATGGATTCAACAGCTTGTCTAGAACGATGGGGGAAGAACAATCGAACACATACATGTGTTTATTTAGGGTTGTGTTTTTCAATTAATGTGAGTAGGTTGGGGGAGAGGAGTAGTAAGGGAAAAAGCAATGGCTGATTGCATAGGAGTGTTATTACATACCTGTGCGAATCAGCCCCTTTATGCATGATTAAGCCCTTACTGAATGCAAGGATATGGCTATGCGAATCAACCATATCTGTTATATGGCTCAATAAGTCCCAACCGAACATCTCCTAAATGGTAATATTGTTAAGAATCGTAAAATAATTTTATACTAAGTCAGTATGATTTTGTTGGTGGCATTTCAACAAATTAAATCGCGTCGAATCTATTTAAATTTTATAAAATAATAGACTATTTTATAAAATATAAGTTTATAGAATCAAACAATTGAGTATTTGCATAATAGTGTTAAAATAAATTGATATGACAATTTTTGGATTTTCTAACAAGTTTTTTTGGATAATATTGAAATAAAACATCGTATTCATTTTTTATGACATTATTTGAAAAATGTATTATAAAAATCAAATCTCATATATAAATATGTGTTCATAAAACATTTTTTTAAAATGTCTTACACAGAGGTAATAAAATATTTTATTCCAAAAGTGTACTAAAAGACAATGTAGGACGATCAAAAATGTCGTATCAATTTATTGTAATACTTTTATACAGGATACCCAAATGTTTTAAACTACAAGAGTAGTAGCGTGATGGATAAAGACAAGTAGATGATAAAATTAACCTAGATTTGAACCCTACCATCTAAATATAAATTTGTGGCCAATGAAAGATCATAGTAGAGTTATAAGCGAAACCTAAAGTCGCGACTTGTCATAGCTTAGATCACTCATTTGTGACCAATGAGAGATTTACCTCAGAGTTTGGGCAAAGCTTGGATCACTCGTTTTTAAAAAAAAATATTAATCTTATAAATCAGTCTATTACATAATTTAAATATATTTGACTTCTTATAAAATTGGTTTTTTTATAATAATATAAATCTCTTCCCACTTATCCCCCATAAACTTACCTTCAAATGAGGATTTAAAAAATCTCTAACAGTTATTCTATAATTTTTCTATAATAAAGTATGAAAAGTTAGAATCGCTAGAAAAAAAATTATATATAATTCTAATAGCTACTCTATATTAGCAATTCTAACATTATTATATTAATAAAATATTCA